CCACAGCAGACCTCTTCTGGACAAAACCTCACAAAGAAGTACTTGACATTGTAGAGATACAACAATACTGGCCTGGGTTGATATGGGAAAGTGAACATTATTCCACAGCAGACCTCTTCTGGACAAAACCTCACAAAGAAGTACTTGACATTGTAGAGATACAACAACACTGGCCTGAGTTGATATGGGAAAGTGAACATTATTCCACAGCTGACCTCTTCTGGACACAACCTCACAAAGAAGTACTTGACATTGTAGAGATACCACAACACTGGCCTGAGTTGATATGGGAAAGTGAACATTATTCCACAGCTGACCTCTTCTGGACACAACCTCACAAAGAAGTACTTGACATTGTAGAGATACCACAACACTGGCCTGAGTTGATATGGGAAAGTGAACATTATTCCACAGCAGACCTCTTCTGGACAAAACCTCACACAAAGTACTTGACATTGTAGAGATACAACAACACTGGCCTGAGTTGATTTGGAAAAGTGAACCTTATACTTCAGCTGACTTCTTCTGGACAGAACCTCACAAAGTACTTGACATTGTAGAGATACGACAATACTGGCCTGAGTTAAGTTGGGAAAGTGAACATTATTCCACAGCAGACCTCTTCTGGACAAAACCTCACAAAGAAGTACTTGACATTGTAGAGATATCACAACACTGGCCTGAGTTGATATGGGAAAGTGAACATTATTCTACAGCTGACCTCTTATGGACACAACCTCACACAGAAATACTTGACACTGTAGAGATACCACAACACTGGCCTGAGTTGATTTGGGAATGTGATCATTATTCCACAGCTGACATCTTCTGGACCCAACCTCACAAAGAAGTACTTGATATTGTACAGATACAACAACATTGGCCTGAGCTGATTTGGAAAAGTGAACCTTATTTTTCAGCTGTTTTGCACCAATGTATAAAGCAACTAAACCTCACAACATGTGATCTTCAGCTGGGTCCTACACGTGAATTAAAAATATTAGACCAGAGCTGTAAAATGTTCAGTACAGAAAATTTTCAGAAATTCGAAAATGTCAGTTCATTTGTCGCTGCTTCAGCATTACCTGTCATTAATCCTGCTCTCAAGTCATTCATCGTATTCGACTCATTATTTTTGGAATCATCATTAAACTTCTTCAAGAAGGACCCCAGAGAACTATCAAAAATTTCGAATTGTTTACTTTACGAAGAAACTTCTTTCCTTCTGTGCAGTTTCGTTGCAACTGATGAAAATATTTTCGTTATGAAGATGGGTTTAACTCCAACCGACAGTGGTAATGTCTTATATCATCTAACACCAAACATATCTATACTTTCTCAATATTTAGAAAGCAATATTTCCACGTCTGTATTTGTGGCTATATCACCAAATGTTGTCTCACCAAGCATTCTTTGGAACACCTGGTTGTCAATAATTCATACAACTTTTGAAACACACGAATCATTTGATACATACTCAAAAGATCCTTTGGCAGTGAAAAACATTAGTGCAATAATATCAACTACAGAACAAAAAAATTTCTTCGGTGTTTTGCACTCTTTTGCACAGGAAGAAGTAGGATCACTGAACATTTTTAAAGCTAAAGAATATAAAACCCATACCACTAACTTTGAATATGTCAAACCAAGTTTGAGAAATTTGGAGATTCTGATAACTTTGCCAATCTTTGACCAAGTATTAACGAAAAATTCTAAGGCAACTTTAAAATTTAAGCTGAATATAAATATAGTACAAGTGCAAAAAGAGGTTGTTATGCAAACCCAAATAAATGTTGAAGATAGTGAACACCGTCTGACTTCGTTTTGGACAGGACAACCTTCATTTTGCTGCATCACTCCTTGCAAGTGTTTGGAGAAAAAGCATTCTCCTATTTCACAACACTGTCTTCAGATGGAATCTTATCACTGCTTAACTTTGCCATTGCCCTCACAGTTCAAACCCGAGATAATTGATCTTCAACCTTTTGACCATAAGCAATACTTTACATATAAACCCAATTTTCTGATTGTTGGAGAAACTTCTGAACATGTAGTTATTCTTGAATATGAAAGTCAGTATAGTTTTCAGTTCTCTGAAACAGTGCACCCACAGACATTTATCAGCAACGAAGTTATACACAAAAGTTATTCATATGCCTGCCTAAAAAGTACAGAAAGTATACATGAGCCACCACTTGAAATATTTTGTCTTATGATCGAGCAATTATTTCAATCCTCTGCTATTTGCCTGAGCAGGTTGTTCAATCCCATATCTATAGAGGCTGACCTTTGGATGAATAATCAAGTTATTGAGCATTTAAGACTTTGTACTGAGATTTCACTTTTTTCCTCACAAACAAATACAGCCCGTGTGCTTACTTCGTTCGTTCCCCTTTTGGTACCTGTAGTAGAGTTGATTAACTCTTATTGTGACATTCTCTTCTGGTCATCACAAGAAATGATGGGTTCAACAAAGACTATAAAAACATTTGACTTTTGTTCGGAGCATGTGGTGATTGACTGTCAAAGCATAATGACCCTTCACACAGCTGAAACTAATAATATTTTCTCCACTGTGCCTTCTGAAAGAAGCATGATAGTTTTCGAAGACAGTGCTTGTACTTCATGTTCTCAGACAGCTGTGACCATTGAAACTGATAGTGTTAGCTACCATGATAAATTTAGTGCTATCATCCATCCAGAATTTAAAAAAATACACGACACAGTCTTGCACAACATGGAATCATCACGACATTCCGAAATATTGGAAACAGTTACTCACCAGGATTACCGTCATCATTTGATATGTTTTCTTTTAATGGAGAACACCTATGCAATTAAAGTTTTTACTCCCTCTGTAGCGTCACTTCTGATGAAGATATCACCTTGTAAAGTTATTGCACTGACAAACAATGTTGCCTCACAAAATCATCAGCTGGAAGAAAGTGGTATTTCGATTCATCTAGAGAAGACTGACTTTAAGACAGTCTTACTTAAGCCAGAATTAGAAAATAGGTTCTTGGAAGCATACAGCATAGCACAGCACTTTCTAACTTGTTATGATTACGTTACAGTTAACCCATTTTTATTAAAGATGGAATCTCAGCAACGTAGCAATATGTTTGGTCTTCGGTATTATGTATACTCAAGAGAGGTGATTCTTCCATTAGAAGAAAGTGTTCTTGTGGACATCGCATTTTCTAGTTCTTACTCAAGTGATAAATTAATCCATTCCGAGCAGGAATGTAAGTTTCCCTGTTACATTTTTGAAACTCACTCCTTGGAGTCTAGTGTGTTAAAATCGTTGGAGACTCATTCAGAAGTGTTTATGCCATTTATTTCTGTGAATAACTATTTTCCCAACCCTCTCTTAGTGGATCATCCTGTCTTGTTTGGATCAGTTAGCTTGTTTACTTGCAGTTCACAGAAAAATGTCGACCATGCTACCTTAAACCTCCATGATAGCTTTTTAACGATGGCCCAGAAGGCCTGTAAAATGATAGAGCCTGTTCCTCTCAATTTCATTACCCCACCAAGCTTTCTATGCCTTCGTGAGAATTCAAGACATACTGTGGAGGTAACTCCAAGAGAACTGGTCACATGTAGTCAAACAGGCTGTTGTGAGAGTTTAACTCTTTACCTAAAAAACGAAAGAGGGTATTGTTTTACAAGTTTCTCAGTAACTGAGTATTGGTGGAAAACAGCAGTCCAAAGTGTTATATATCCTGAAGAGGAAATTGCTTTACCCCGTAAGTTGATTTTCCCATCATGTTGTACTGCTTCTATTAGTTTGACAGAGACGTATTCTTCTCTACCGGTGTGTTTTGTAATTATCTGTGAAAGCGATTCCCTCTCTGTTGGATATACAGATTTGTTTAATATGTCTCTAATGCCTTTGACAATTTCAGAAGAATTTCAATATAGCAGTATCTTATCTTACGATATCCTCACAAACACACCAGCAACATTTTATAACCGAGTTAACAAACCACTAAAGCAATTCATAGAACCTCATTTCACTATTCATCCAAGTCAAGGTTTGGTAGAGAAATCTGAAACACTCACAGATGAAGACCTTGTAATATTTATAAAAGAGAGTCGTATATCTGATTATTGTGGAGAATCTGTTAGCTGGGAGCTCACGTATCCAAACTCTGTAAATGCAATAATAAGTATAACATTAACAGAAGATACTCTGAGTCACAGAACTTTAGAAAATACAAGAACGAATTTCCAAGTAAAACCTCAGCTTGTCAAACCCTATTTGGTCACCTCTCACTGTGAAACAATCTTTACTTTCCATGCCATTCAAATACAAAATATAACCAAATTTAATAACTCTAGTCCTTGCACAATCGAAGAAGACATTAATCCTTGTGTTAGTTATAAAGCAGAATTTACAAGGTTCAGCCCAGTTTTAAATTCTTCGACAGTATCAAAGGATATATGTGCCAAAAAAGAACTTCTGACCCTTACGCAAAAACCTTCCTCCTTGGTTCAGCATCCTTTCAATTCGTCATTAAATATTTTTCCTCAACAAGTCCACCAAACCTTTATACTATTCCACTCCTTTCCAATACGAAGAGTGCAACAACCCTTGGAATCTGTCTTGTTTAAAATGCAATCAGAAAGCAAATTAGCTGCCAATATTACTAGTCCATCTTTGGTTACAGACAGCCTTCATACCTTAGCATCTGTGCAACAACCCTTGGAATCTGTCTTGTTTAAAATGCAATCAGAAAGCAAAGTAGCTGCCAATATTACTAGTCCCTCTTTGGTAACAGACAGCCTTCATACCTTAGCATCTACAGAGTGTCATTCGATCCACATGTTATCACTTCCTGTTCTAGAACATTTCTCCAGATTTCCAGCAGTCGAGGTCGATGTGGTTAACTCTTACGGCGTTGTGGCTTCTTGTGTTTTAACAACTGAAGAAAGTTTTATCATTCATTGTCAATCCCCTTTCGTACTTCACAACATTAACACCATTGTGGAAAACTCTAAGATGTGGGAGATCCCCACAAACTTTGTAGCATTTGAGCTCTCGGAAGAAGTAAATACTCGAATGGCACGATGGGTATTCTGTTTTTCAGTCACAACTGAAGTCACTATTCCTGATGAGGAACCTGTTGTAATTCTTTCAATTTTAGAAAGATGTAATAGCTTTCTTTCTTCTACAATCGAAGAAAATAACCTTATTTCAAAACAGATTTCTGTAGCTTATCCACAACGAGCCTTGAAAGTTAAAACCACGTCACAACTTTCGGTTCTAGTTCGACCAATAACTCTAGCACAAAGTGAGACCTTGAAGGACGTAATTCCTTGCACTAGAGAAGTTTTAATATGTGAAGCATCCAGGTCCTGTGTAAGTGGTAACATAATTTACGAAACTACACAGCTTCCAGTTCATACAAACCCTGTCATAGAAGAAGTGCCCTTAAACGTCTTTTTGCCACCTGGTCTACCTTCCATCGAGAAAATTAAAGAACAAAACATGCAATTTATGTTTCATGGTACCTTGTTTTATATTTCAATTAGCTGTGAATGTGAACCCCTTGTAATCACCCCAAGTTTCAACTTATACTCATCAGAGACTCCAAGTTTAAGTGTACAGTTTCAGAATATACCAAACATTGAGGAGGTTCACGAGGAAAAAGAACAAGTGACCTGTTTTTCGGAAGAATCTTGGAATAGTTTAATCTTTTCTGAGGACACACGTGCTGTACAGAACTATATGGCTATTATGGAAAACGTGCAGCCAGTTCTGGAAGCGCAAGATAGATCACTTTCAGTAACTGCTGAAGATTTTACCAATAGAATGATTTCCATGAGAAATGAATATGATTCTGTCCAAATGCTTAAAGGAAAATGTGATGTAGCACGTGTTGCTTTTGATCCTTGTCCATCACTTTTTGGGGAAAATGTTTTTGAACACTTTCCTATTCTTACAATAAAAACTTTGCATACACAAGACTTGAAAGCAGCTTTCACGGTCGACTTACTACAATCATCACCTAGTAAAATACCAACGTGGGTTTCGTCATTTTATCCAATGCTCATGAAGAAAATAAATAATGTTCCTTTGTATGAAAAGAGTCTTAAACATTCTCAGATACTCCAAGAACAGCAGCCATTGAAAGTCTTTTCATCTGACTTTCTTACTAATTTATGTTCTGTGAAGCCTAATCTTATTTATACAACAGATTTAACAATCACATTTCAACTAATACCAGAAGAGTCATTACGATATATATCACACCCTCAAGTACATAACATAACTGAACATAAACTGTCTTTTGCACTTGTTCCTCACAATCCCGTAGCTATTTCATGCAGAGAAAATTCCTTAGAGGATATCATTGTTCTAAAGCCAAAGTCCAACATTCAGAACCTACAGACTCTAGACACGGTTGTTATCCAGTCCATCAAACATGCTGCAACAGTGTTAAAGACAGGTATAATCGACGATTGTTTGATCATAAAGTTTACCGACAGATTTGGTGTCCTTTCTCTAGAAGTGACTGATTTATGCACAGAACTGAACTTTCCAGACCCTCTGACGACATTTACTATTCCCCTACTGACATCATCAGTATTAAAGAATAAACCAGTCATCGAGTTTAAATTAGCTCAACAGAACCAGTTGGTGTTCACAACTTACAGCACACAAGACAGCAATAATCTTATCTTCCATCCTGAACAGGATTCTCCAGAAGTGGTAATTTCACCTTATATATTTCCCGTTAGTTTGTTTGAAGTCTACGAGCATTATGACACCGTTCAGTTACTCATTGAAGATAACACTTTGTTCATAACGAGACCAAACATAAATTTACACTCTCCTTATAAAGCTCTTCATCAGAAGGAGATTTACATGCACTGGAATGTTATGTATTCAAAACCTAACAATATGATTAATGGTCCTGGATTGCATTTGCCATTTCTGTGGATGGATTGCAATGAATATTTATTAGTCACTGAAGATATTGTCATGAATGATAGCCTTGTTATCACAAAACCTTAGTATATCACTGGAATGCCAGCTTCCTTCCACGAGAACCCTGTATATAACACCAGAACTATCAACCAGTGTGATTTTTCATCAATTGCCTCAAACCTGTATCATAAGCTCTTTTCTCAGAATGTTTACCAATCAGAAAAAATGTAGTGAAGCCCTCTTAGAATCTCCAATAACTGTGTTCTCGATAGTTCCTCTTAAAGAAGAAACAGCCAAGTTATTTCTCACTGATGTCTATCATTCTGCAGCTGTTCAGGGTAGAACTAGTGTTGAGGATGGTCTGCTTGTTGAGGACTGCACATCTGGGCTTTTAGAACAAACTTGTACCACATCATTGCTCTCAACGTATCATACAAATTATCATACAGTATCAATGGTACAAGCTGAGGAATTTGTGAACTGCTTTCATTCACCAATAAAAATATTGTTACCAATACACGTCACTTCATATAACGTGGATCAAAAAACAGAAGAAGTTTGTGACTTTTCTACAGTCACCAGTAAACCTCAAGAATTAAATCTGAAAACACTGTTGCAGAGTTTTAGCAGCATGGTCGAGACACAATATCTTTTCAGCAACTCTCGTGTTATACAGCACGCTGAGGATCAGTATCAGCATTGTTGCAAACCACAGTATTCAAAACCTGCTATTTCTCCACGTGTCTTATTCGTAGAACCAGAGTTTCAAATTGCCATCGTTAGTGAGAGTATTCAGAAGGAAAATCATTACCTGGTACATAAGACTTTTGTACAAAGGGCTGTTAAAATTTCGAGTAGCAATTACGGTCAGGATGGTTGTCCGTTAAGTATCATTGAAGGCCAACGTGGTACTTGTGTTGATGTGTTGAAAAGGTTCGCATATCCTACCATATTCGTTTCTCAAGATCTAAATATAGCTAATAAAGAAGTGTATAAGGTTTCCAACACGGATGAAAAGAGTAATAGTTTGGATTATAATCAGAATCCAGACTTTCTGACTTCAAGTCCGGATAGAATAGTCCATGAGTTGGATTTTGGTGCAATGAATGAGGCACCAGATGTTGGTGAAATAACCCATGAGATGGATTTTGGTGTAGTGAATGAAGCTCCATATATTGGTGAAATAACCCATGTGTTGGATTTTGGTGCAGTGAATGAAGCTCCAGATGTTGGTGAAATAGTCCATGAGTTGGATTTTGGTGCAGTGATTGAAGCTCCATATATTGGTGAAATAACCCATGTGTTGGATTTTGGTGCAATGAATGAGGCACCAGATGTTGGTGAAATAAAACAAGAATTGGATTTTGGTGCAATGAATGAGGCACCAGATGTTGGTGAAATAACCCATGAGTTGGATTTTGGTGCAGTGAATGAGGCACCAGATGTTGGTGAAACTAAACAAGAATTGGATTTTGGTGCAATGAATGAGGCACCAGATGTTGGTGAAATAACCCATGAGTTGGATTTTGGTGCAGTGAATGAAGCTCCAGATTTTGGTGAAATAAAACAAGAATTGGATTTTGGTGCAGTGAATGAGGCACCATATTTTGGTGAAATAAAACAAGAATTGGATTTTAGTGCAGTGAAACAGCCCTCAAATATCAACCATATAACAGAAGAATTGGATTTTGGTGAAATAACTCGAGAGTTGGATTTTGGTGCAGTAAATAAGGCACCAGATATTGATCATATAGCCCAAGAATTGGATTTTGGTGCAGTGAACAAAGCCACAGATGACGATCAGATGATTCGTGAGTTTGACTTTGGTGAAGTGATGTTAGATCGATTCTTACCGGAAATGAATCAGTTACCGAGTGGTTTCTGCACTTCTCTGAGAAACCTGAACCTCCAAGGAAAGAAGAACACTTTAAAAGGTAAGGAGGAATAAATTATTTTTAAGTTGTGTTCATTCCAATATCCAGACTTTATTCTTAACTTTTGCACATTACATAAAACCGAAATTCCTCTTGAAGAATATAGAAATAACTTTGATTAGTAAAGATTTTAGCATTAGTGAGTCCATGGCATTTTGAAGAGCCGTATTTGAAAGAATAATTTATAAAACTTAACGTTCTTTTTAAAACCTGTTATACTTTAAAGTTATTATATGAATACAATTAAAACATATAAACTGATTCGAGGTGGTGTTTGTTTGTTTGTTTTG